GGAGTCTCGGGAGGGTTGTGCGGAGTCTCGGGAGGGTTGTGCGGAGTCTCGGGAGGGCTGTGCGGAGTCTCAGGAGGGCTGGGGGTTCACAGCCTGTGGGGGTCTCAGGTGGGCTGTGCGGAGTCTCAGGTGGGCTGTGGGGGTCTCAGGTGGCCTGGTGGGGTCTCAGGTTGGGCTCTGCGGATTATTATTAATATTTTCGTTTTATATTTTCTTACTTTTTATCACTTTATTTTTCATTTTAATTTCTTTTATTTTTACTTTTTTCTCGTAACTTTATTGCTATCATACAGGGGTTAACAAGCTCCTGTGTGATAGCATTCGGAAGGTGACAGGTTCTCTTTATGAGCCTGCCCTCCAGTACAAAAGTGTGTATCTCTCTGCACTCCTTACCGAATCTCTAAAGAGATATATAAATGGGTGCTAGTAGTGACCACGGAGGTGCCGTGAAATATGCAAAGAAGATGTCACCAGCACACCAGATTTTCAGATGAAACAACAATCCATTTTAATGACAACCATTCAGATAGCAAGTACTTTCGGGGCCTTCTGAGCCTGATGACGGGGACCCTGCGAGGCCCCGAAAGTACTTGCCATCTGAAGGACAATGGTTGTCATTAAAATAGATTGTTGTTTCATCTGAAAAAATGGTGTTCTGGTGACATCTTCTCTCTACTTTGGCCTCCAGTACAGACTCTGCACTCTGAATGCAATGGACTCGGGACTTAGGAACGCACTAGACTCAGGACTCAGGTCCGGTGCAGACCTACGCGATCCGGGATCACACAGTACTGCACAATGCTTTCAGTGGGGTGGCAATTGCAGAAAAAAGGTACATGTACCTTTTTTTTGCGATACACGACGCACAGCTCTTTTGGCCGTGATTTTGTTCGGAAGCACGGGCGGAATTGCGGCGGGAAACCGCGCAATCTGCTTGGCGCAACTGGGGTGCCATTAGTAGATAATGGCACCCACAGCGCGATCGGTGCACACCTAGCCGACTTCTGACCGTGCTGCAATGAGGGTATTGGTGGAGATTAGAGGTGTTTCCTCTTATTGTTTTACTAGTTAACTTGTTCAATTTTAATCAAGCATTGGATAAAATGTATACTTTTTATACAAAAACAGATAGGTTGGGGTGAACTAGATGTCATGCCCAATCGGACCTAGTCTGTTAGGTTTAACACAGTGGCTTGGATAGGGTCCATCTGATCTTAGGTTGCTATTGAGACTGCGTCGATTGATGTGTCTCAACCAGTGTAACAATTTGGTTAACAATTGGTAAAGTAAACATAATACATGGCAGTACAAATCATATTCTACAGAATAGAAATTCTTAGCTTGACCCAGGGAGTTGTGGTAGGTGATAACGCGTTTCGCGTCTATGACGCTTCTTCAGAATAAGAGGTGGTCTAAATTAAAGTTCAGAAAAAAATCATGTGAAACCTCGAATAGAGATCTAGTGAAACACATACGATAATAGTAAGTGATCAAAAATGCTTCTGCATTGTATCTAGTAGTACATTCAAAAGTCCAAGGTCTACCATTAACAAATCACAGAGGTATCAATAGTCACAGAACAAAAACAAAAATGAGGCCACCAGGTGCCTCCATAGGGCGATATTCAACAAAATTTTGGGAATTTATACATGTTCGCCCAGACAGTGGAATGAGTATGGCCAACGGCGTCTAAAACTGAGGAGATCAATATATTGAATGGAAATACTGTGTCACAAAATATTAAAAGAATGTATAGGTTGCCAGGTCACCAAAGCAGGAAAAAGTAAGCACCAGTGGGTAGCCATGAGAGGTAAACAAAAAGTCTAGTTAGTTTCAGACCAGTCCCACGGACCGTGAGATCCAGGGCCGGCTGGTCCATGGGGGGGGGGGATACAAGGTATCCCCC